ATTCACTAACCATGATGAGAGCCTAGTAGGTTTAGTGGGCTATGAACCCTCAGTAGGGATTTAAAATAAAAATTTTTTACATGGGAATTTTTTTTTTTAACACATCGGCCATTTCCCACTGAGGCAGGGTGACCCAAAAAGAAAGAAAAAACTTCCATCATTCAACACTTTCACCATCACTCATACATAATCACTGTCTTTGCAGAGGCTCTCAGATATGACAGCTTAGATGTCCCTCCAAACTACCAATATCCCAAACCCCTCCTTTAAAGTGGCGGCATTGTACTTCCCATTTCCAGAACTCACATCTGGCTAACCATTTTCCCTAAATCCCTTCACAAAGTAGTACCCTGCTCACACTCCAACAGCTTGTCAGGTCCCAAAAACCATTCGTCTCCATTCATTCCTAACATGCTCATGCATGCTTGCTGGATGTCCAAGCCCCTTGCTCACAGAATTTCCTTTCCCCTTCCCTCCAACCTTTTCAAGGACGACCCTTACCTGCCTTCCTTCCCCAACAGATTTATACGCTCTCCAAGTCATTCTACTTTGTTCCATTCTCTCTAAATGACCAAACCACCTCAACAGCCCTTCTTCAGCCCTCTGACTAATACTTTTAGTAACTCCACACCTCCTCCTAATTTCCACACTATGAATTCTTTGCATAATGTTTACACCACACATTGCCCTCAGACATGGCATCGCCACTGCCTCCAGCTGCCTCCTCACTGCAGCATGGGAATATTTTGTAGTATTAAATGTTCCTACAGATATGAATAATAACTCATCATGTATTCAGACATATTATGAAGGAAAAGTAGGAAGACTCATCAAATACAGTTATACCAACATATAAAGAATAAAAAGGCACAGTACTTGACTGGAACAATATACAAATAACCCACACATAATAGAATGAAATTTATGACTTGTAGGAGAATGAAACTTATGAAATGTAGTCATAAGTTTCATTTTCCTGTGTGCAGGTATTTGTGTATGATACCAATATATACAGACACAATAATACACAGCTATGAACACACATACATGCACACACACACTCATGCACCCGAAACTGCTGTATAGCCACATTAGGAGGAAGACAACAGTCAAAGACCAGGTGATAAGGCTGAGGAAAGAAGGTGGAGAACTCACAAGAAACGATCAAGAGGTATGTGAGGAGCTCAACATGAGATTTAAGGAAGTATTTACAGTGGAGACAGGAAGGCCTCTTGGGGGACAGACCAGATGGGGACACCAGCAAGGAATATACCAACAAGTGTTGGATGACATGCATACAGATGAGGAGGAGGTGAAGAAGCTGCTAAGGGACATCGATACCTCAAAGGCAATGGGACCTGACAACATCTCCCCGTGGGTCCTTAGATAGGGAGTGGGTATGTTTTGTGTGCCACTTACCACAATCTTCAACATGTCCCTGGAAACTGGGCAACTACCTGAGGTATGGAAGACGGCAAATGTAGTTCCCATTTTTAAAAAAGGAGACAGAAAAGAGGCACTAAACTATAGACCTGTGTCACTGACATGTTTAGTATGCAAAGTTATGGAGAAGATTATCAGGAGGAGAGTGGTGGAGCACCTGGAACGGAACAAGAGTATAAACGCCAACCAGCACGGATTCATGGAAGGAAAATCCTGTGTCACAAACCTTCTGGAGTTTTATGATAAAGTAACAGAAGTAAGGCACGAGAGAGAGGAGTGGGTTGATTGCATCTTCTTGGACTGCAAGAATGCCTTTGACACAGTTCCTCACAAGAGATTAGTGCAGAAGCTAGAGGATCAGGTTCATTTAACAGGAAGGGCACTGCAATGGATCAGAGAATACCTGACAGATATGGTAAACATGAGGATATTAAATCTTCATCAGAGTACAAAACAAATTCTGGCCACAAAATAGAGCGAAACACCAACGTCAAAGACCTGGGAGTGATCATGTTGGAGGATCTCACCTTCAAGGACCATAACATTGTATCAATCGCATCTGCTAGAAAAATGACAGGATGGATAATGAGAACCTTCAAAACTAGGGAGGCCAAGCCCATGATGACACTCTTCAGGTCACTTGTTCTATCTAGGCTGGAATATTGCTGCACACTAACAGCACCTTTCAAGGCAGGTGAAATTGCCGACCTAGAAAATGTACAGAGAACTTTCACGGCGCGCATAACGGAGATAAAACACCTCAATTACTGGGAGCGCTTGAGGTTCCTAAACCTGTATTCCCTGGAACGCAGGAGGGAGAGATACATGATTATATACACCTGGAAAATCCTAGAGGGACTAGTACCGAACTTGCACACGAAAAATCACTCACTACGAAAGCAAAAGACTTGGCAGACGATGCACCATCCCCCCAATGAAAAGCAGGGGTGTCACTAGCACGTTAAGAGACCATACAATAAGTGTCAGAGGCCCGAGACTGTTCAACTGCCTCCCAGCACACATAAGGGGGATTACCAACAGACCCCTGGCAGTCTTCAAGCTGGCACTGGACAAGCACCTAAAGTCAGTTCCTGATCAGCCGGGCTGTGGCTCGTACGTTGGTTTGCGTGCAGCCAGCAGCAACAGCCTGGTTGATCAGGCTCTGATCCACCAGGAGGCCTGGTCACAGACTGGGCCGCGGGGGCGTTGACCCCCGGAACTCTCTCCAGGCACTCCAGGTAAACAGGGAGGCAACAACGAGTCATGGTACGTAATGATGTATCACAATGGGCACCTGTGACAAGCGGGGTCCCACAGGGGTCGGTCCTAGGACCAGTGCTATTTTTGGTATATGTGAATGACATGATGGAAGGGTTAGACTCAGAAGTGTCCCTGTTTGCAGACGATGTGAAGTTAATGAGGAGAATTAAATCAGATGAGGACCGGGCAGGAGTTCAAAGAGACCTGGACAGACTGGACACCTGGTCCAGCAACTGGCTTCTCGAATTTAATCCCGTCAAATGCAAAGTCATGAAGATAGGGGAAGGGCAAAGAAGACCGCAGACAGAGTATAGGCTAGGTGGCCAAAGACTGCAAACCTCGCTCAAGGAGAAAGATCTTGGAGTGAGTATAACACTGAGCATGTCTCCAGAAGCACACATCAACCAGGTAATTGCTGCAGCATATGGGCACCTGGCAAACCTGAGAACAGCGTTCCAATACCTTAATAAAGAATCGTTCAAGACACTGTACACCGTGTACGTCAGGCCCATACTGGAGTATGCAGCACCTGTTTGGAACCCCACACTTGATAAAGCACATCAAGAAACTAGAGAAAGTGCAAAGGTTTGCGACAAGGTTAGTTCCAGAGCTAAGGGGAATGTCTTATGAAGAAAGGTTAAGGGAAATCGGCCTGACGACACTAGAGGACAGGAGGGTCAGGGGAGTTATGATAGCGACATATAAAATACTGCGCAGAATAGACAAGGTGGACAAAGACAGGATGTTCCAGGGAGGGGACACAGAAACAAGAGGTCATAATTGGAAGTTGAAGACACAGATGAGTCAGAGAGATGTTAGGAAGTATTTCTTCAGCCATTGAGTTGTCAGGCAGTGGAATAGCCTAGAAAGTGATGTAGTGGAGGCAGGAACCATACATAGTTTTAAGACGAGGTATGATAAAGCTCATGGAGTGGGGAGAGAGAGGACCCAGTAGCAACCGGTGAAGAGGCAGGGCCAGGAGCTAGGACTCGACCCCTGCAACCACAAATAGGCGAGTACAAATAGGTGAGTACATTCACACAGACTTACAAGTGCACACACTCACACAAGCATGTAGGAACACACAAACACACACATAATCATACACACAAATATAAACACACACAATATACATTACATAAATAAACACAAATTACCATAAACACAAATCAACATATATACATATACAAATAGACACTTATCAATAAATTCACACTCACAAACACATGCATACACAAACACAAAAATTAACACACACATGCAAACACACTTGAAAATGCATGTTATGAAACTGCAGAGGTATGCAACAAGGTTTGTTGCTGAGCTAGAGAGCATGAGCTGTAAGGAGAGACTAGTGGAATTGAACCTAATGACATTGGAGGATAGCAGAACTGGGGGGGACATGATAACAAGATACAAAATACTCAGGAATTGATTATGTAGAAAAGGATAAGAATAATAATAATCTTTATTTCTTCAAGTACATGTATAAGGTATACAGGCCTAGCTGACATCAATGACATATGTACTACTATATAGAAAGTTCCTTATTATGCAGAGCATTTCAGGCAGATTAGGTCAGTTTTGTTCCCAGAATGTGACCCACACCAGTCACCTAACACCCAGGTACCTATTTTACTGATAGGTGAACATAGACAGCAGGTGTTATAAGGAAATGTGTCCTAATGTTTTCACCTGTACCAGGGATTGACCCCCCCAGACCTCAGTGTGTGAGCTGAGAGCACAAGCAATTGACCTATTTGAGAGGTGAGAAACAGTAGTTAAAGTCACAGATGAGCCATAGGGAAGTTAAGAAGTATTTATTAAGTCTCAGCATGGTCCAGAAGTGGTAGAAATAGGCTCCATACATAGTTTTAAGAGTAAGTATGATAGGGCCCACGAGGCTAAGAGGGAGTGAATTTGGAAAGTGGCAAGTTAAGAGGTGGGGCCAGGATCTGAGAATTGACCCTTGCAACAACAAATAGGTGAGTACACACACATACACTACTGATTATGTTAACTGTTATTAATTCTTGCAGAGTGCTCTATGATCTTCCAGTTTATTGAGCATACTTTATACATATTTAAATGCCTCCCCCTGACTTTGTTTCTCTGTCTAATTGCCTTATATCAATTTCTAATACATGTGGCTCAGCATTCTGTTTTCAGTTAGTTATTTTACTAATACTAATTAATACTCAAAATGTTCAGTTACTTGATCATAATATCTTATGTCACACTCAAAACTAAGACTGTGTCTTTGTACCTTTCTCATATTATTTGTTTTATATCATTAGAACCCATTGGACAACCACCACCAGAGCCTACTCCAGGCCTACCAAGAGTCATCAGCCCAGAATGTAAGATGGAAGGGCGTACCTTCAGCTCTTTTGATGATTCTGTTTATGAAATGGAGCCATGTAATCACATCCTGGCTGAGGACAAAATCAATAAAGACTGGTCTATCTCAGGTAAGAAGAATATACATGTATACACAAAGTTAAAATGACTCTTCATGCTACAGATTAGTGCAGTGAGAGTCTGTGATAGATTATACAAATAAGACAAAAACTATAGCAAATTTACAAATATTAGTTTCCCTCCTGTAATATACTATTTTTTAGTTACACTTTATATAAATAGGTCATAAGATGCATTTAGAGGCTAATGCTAATGCATGGCTTTATATAAATAGGTCATAAGATGCATTTAGAGGCTAATGCTAATGCATGGCTTTTGCCTCTATTGGTTAAAGCACAGACCTCATGCATGTTGTGTTCACTCTAATACACAAAACATGTTCAGTACCTGTGAAGTCTGAGCATTAAAATGGTATAAAATACCGACAGGTTGTTAGGTAAGACACATATGCAACAGTTAGGTATCTTTATTTTGAAACGTTTCGCCTACACAGTAGGCTTCTTCAGTCGAGTACAGAAAAGTTGATAGAAGCAGAAGATACTTGAAGACGATGTAATCAGTCCATCACCCTTGAAGTTTTGAGGTGGTCAGTCCCTCAGTCTGGAGAAGAGTATTGTTCCATAGTCTGAAACAATATGGAGTTGAAGTGACAGGATGGAGCCTTATATAACGCCAGGAGGTGAGATGTAGGCCACTAGTAGAGGTGTCTTACCTAACAACCTGTCGGTATTTTATACCATTTTAATGTTCACTCTGTCAGACACTGCAACACAAGGGTATCTTGGTACAGACCTGAAATCAACTTTGTCAACTTCTACTAGTGAGAATGGCTGGATTTGAGAGGGACCTGACCTTCCAACGACAATATTCTTACCTCTACTAGTGGCCTACATCTCACCTCCTGGCATTATATAAGGCTCCATCCTGTCACTTCAACTCCATATTGTGTCAGACTATGGAACAATACTCTTCTCCAGACTGAGGAACTGACCACCTCAAAACTTCAAGGGTGATGGACTGATTACATCGTCTTCAAGTATCTTCTGCTTCTATCAACTTTTCTGTACTCGACTGAAGAAGCCTACTGTGTAGGCAAAACGTTTCGAAATAAAGATACCTAACTGTTGCATATGTGTCTTACCTAACAACCTGTGAAGTCTGGTGAATGTCTGTGACTCATCATGAGGATCATATTCTACTTTGTGATTGTGAAATATGGTGAAAGTCAAAGGTTGGTCCTTAGGTTGATGTTCTCTGCAGGGATGTCATTAAAAGCTACAGAGTGAGAATTTTGCTGCTGTTAGTAAGAACCTCGTATGAAGTTAAAGTATTAAAAAAAGTTTATTAATTTAATTACAGAATTGGTCAGAATAAAACATGAGTTGAGTTTCCTGTTTCTTTCCATTATCTCTCTGTTACTTTAAAATGAAGTGACATCCCAGCTCTTGTGTGTAGGATGTATATCCGTGAAAGTATTAGAGTTGAAGGTCAGTCTTGATGATCAATTTAAAAGAAAAGCTGGAGATCATGTCTATGGGGCAGGATTCTCTTAAACTGCACACACCCATTCTCTCTAGGCTAAAATTTGCTGCTCACGGCACTTTTACCCATAGATCTGTGTCTGTGACCCTGAACCCTCTTACATAGATCTTCATGAATGATAGTGATAGGGGTTTATTTTATTTTATTTTATTTTATAATTTGTAGCATACATACAGAGGTATGGAAGGAAGGCGGGGTAGGGGTCGGCCTAGGAAAGGTTGGAGGGAGGGGGTAAAGGAGGTTTTGTGTGCGAGGGGCTTGGACTTCCAGCAGGCATGCGTGAGCGTGTTTGATAGGAGTGAATGGAGACAAATGGTTTTTAATACTTGACGTGCTGTTGGAGTGTGAGCAAAGTAACATTTATGAAGGGGTTCAGGGAAACCGGCAGGCCGGACTTGAGTCCTGGAGATGGGAAGTACAGTGCCTGCACTCTGAAGGAGGGGTGTTAATGTTGCAGTTTAAAAACTGTAGTGTAAAGCACCCTTCTGGCAAGACAGTGATGGAGTGAATGATGGTGAAAGTTTTTCTTTTTCGGGCCACCCTGCCTTGGTGGGAATAGGCCAGTGTGATAATAAGATAATAAAATACAGAGGTACAAAAAATTACAGGTAAGAGTAGCATGCCAAAGCCACTTATATGCATAGCATTACGGGCTGGCTTAAAATTTACTTAAGATTAACTAAGCAAAGATGTAATCAGTGATAAAACATTATTGTAAACAGATAACTATAAAGCACAAATGAGTATTACAAAGACAGGTCATATGGTTGCATGCATTGCTGTACATTCAGTAGAATGGAGTATTCTGTTAGGTAGTGTATTTAAAAAATAACAAAGTTAGATTGGGTCTTATGTTTAACATTTATGTGATGTAATTGTGAGAAACATTTAGGATATACAATTTATAAGGTTCAGTTATTCAGTATTTATTTGGTTTTGGGTGAGTAACTGATCTTCGAGAAGAGACTTGAATTTATAAACAGGTAGTGTTTCTTTTATATTTACAGGTAATGAATTCCAGATTTTAGGGCCTTTGATGTGCATTGAGTTTTTGCATAGCGTAAGATGGACATGAGGAACATCAAAGAGTGATCTGTGTCTTGTGTTATGGTCATGAGTTCTGTTGAGGTTGGCAAGCAGATGTTTGAGGGGAGGGTTAATATCAGAGTTAAGTGTTCTATGTATGTAATAGGTGCAGTAATAAGTATGGATGTTTTGTACGGTGAGTAGGTTAAGTGTTTTGAATATTGGTGGAGTGTGCTGCCTGTAGTGGGAATTTGTTATCATTCTGACTGCAGCCTTTTGTTGGATAATTAGTGGTCTGAGGTGGTTAATTGTTGTTGAGCCCCATGCATAAATTCCATAGGTGAGATAGGGGTAAATAAGAGAGTGATACAGGGCCAGGAGTGCTGACTGTGGAACATAGTAACGTATCTTCGATAGTATGCCTACGGTCTTGGAAATTTTCTTAGAAATTTGTTGTATATGTGTATGAAATTTGAGTCTATTATCAAGGTGGATTCCTAAGAATTTTCCCTCTGTTAGCTTTGTGATAGGTGATCCGTTTATCATTATGTTAAGAGGGACATCTGCAGCTCTGTTTCCAAACTGAATGAAGTAGGTTTTGTCAATGTTTAGTGTAAGTTTGTTAGTCCTCATCCAGGTTGATATTTTCTGTAATTCGGCATTTACAGTATTGGCTAGCATGACTGGGCTCGGGTTAATTAAAATGCAGATATTGCTATCCTCTGTTGCCTCCCTTCTCCAGTTTTGTGGTATCAACTATACAATGTTTTGTACTGTATAGCACTTATCTACTCTACCATACATTCTTTCCATTACTCTCTTACACTCATTCATCCTTTCCTTTTTTCTCATGGTAACTAACTTTCCCTTTTCTTCTTTCTCAATGCTAACTCATTCTCCCTTACCATCTTCCTTGTATTCATTCACTGTTCCTTACCCACTTTCACTCTCTCCTATGTAAGTATCTTTTTCACTTTTCACTCTTCTTTATAACTTTATTTCTGGTAAATGAACGGAAGGATCTTCTTAATTAGTATACTTTACTTTATAATAAGTATTGATGTAATATTTTGATCCTTTGACATGTGGGTTCTTTTTTGTAGTGCACAAGAACTGTTCTGAGAGCAATAAGTGTGACCGTTACCTCAATATTACACAAGAAGACAAGCAGATGATTCTTCGACCAGATCTTCTTATTGTGTGGGATGAAAACACATATACTGTTACTCAGGTAAGGCACTCATACACTATATAAATTAGCATTGATATTACTATATATATCAAGTTTAATGAATATTTGTTTTCATTTATATTGATGTTATTGTAGTTCTTATGCATTTCTGAGTGTCATGTATTTTATAACTAATTTTAGGAATATGTAAAATATCCCACAAGTCAGCACCCATAGGTAAAAAAATATGAAGCTGACATTTAGTTAATTTATTATGGAAATGTAATGTCTGATGAACTGTGATTTCTACATACTTTTGATAAGAGCTGTTGAATGAGTGTTGATCAATATAATTTTTGCTTTGGATCACTTTTTTGGTGGGAGATGGGTAGTGTAATTTTTTTGATAAAGCTAGGAAGAGTTGTGTTATGGATAAAAAGTCTCAGCATGATTGATGGTTGTATCTTCACAGCTGTGTAATGGTGAATTTCTAATAACTTTTATTAGAAATAAATGTAAATAAAAAAGAAAATGTTATAGAAGGAATTGATGTACTGTATCTGTTTATAGAAAATGTAATCTCTTGAAAAATAATGGTGCCTTTATTTATCATGTCAAGTGTACTGTTTCAGCATATTAATTGTCTTTACCTAATTCCAAAAATTACAGCCTTTGCATTGCTGAGAAATAAAATAGCTGTACTTTTTATTATACAGGTTTTTATTATATATTTATTTACTTTGAAAAAATGGACTATACAAAAAATCATGCAGTTCAAGCATAATTTTAATGTACAGTAATAAGATGGTATAATGTACATTTATTGGATATAAAACCTTAGACTGTCATTTATTGGATATAAAACCTTAGACTGTCATTTATTGGATATAAAACCTTAGACTGTCATTTATTGGATATAAAACCTTAGACTGTCATTGAAATGACCATTGGAAAATTTATTTTGCTGTATGTTTTAAGATTAATGATTTTCTCTTATTTTTCATACTATCTGCAGGTCTGTCATGTCATTTTTTTTTTCAACACTCTAGCCATCTCCCACCAAGGCAGGGTGACCCAAAAAAGAAAGAAACACTTTCACCATCATTCATACATAATCACTGTCTTTGCAGAGGTGCCTAGATATGACATTTCAGATGTCACTCTAAACAGCCAAAATCTCAAACCCCTCCTTTAAAGTGCAGGCATTGTGCTTCCCACCTCCAGGGCTCAAGTCCAGCTAACCAGTTTCCCAGAATCCCTTTCCAAAATATTACCCTGCTCATGCTCCAGCAGCTTGTCAGGTCCTAAAAACCATTCATCACCATTCATTCTTATCTAACATGTTCACACATGCCTGCTGCATGTCCAGGAGCTTTGTGCACAAAACATCTTTTACCCCCTCCCTCCATCTTTTCCTTGGATGACCCCTGCCCTCCTTCCCTCCACTACAGATTTATACACCCTCCAAGTCATTCTGTTTTGCTCCATCCTCTCTGAATAACTAAACCACCTCAATTACCCCTCTTCAGCCCTCTGAACAATAATTTTTGTAACTCCACACCTCCTCCTAATTTCCACACTATGAATTCTCTGCATAAAATTTACACCACGTGTTGCCCGTAGACACGACATCTCCACTGCCTCCAGCCTCCTCCTTGCTGCAGCATTCACAACCCATGCTTCACACCCATATAAGAGTGTTGGTACTACTATACTCTTGTACTTTCCCTTCTTTGCCTCCATGGATAATGGTTTTTGTCTCCACAGAAACCTCAGTGCACCACTCATCTTTTTTTCTTCATCAGTTCTTTGGTTAACCTCATCCTTCATAAACCCATCTGCTGACAAATCTACTCCTAAATATCTGAACACATTCACTTCTTCCATACTCCCGCCATGCAATGTGATATCCAATTTTTCTTTACCTAACTTGTTTGATACCCTCATCACCTTACTCTTATCTATGTTCACTTTCAACTTTTTTTGTTTACACTCCCTCCCAAACACATTCACTGACTTTTGCACCTTCTCTTTAGAATCTCCAAAAGCACAACATCATCAGCAGAAAGTAACTGTGGCTGCTCCCATTTGGTATTTGATTTCCCATAATTTAATCTTGCCCTTCTCTCTAACACCCTAGCATTTACTTCTTTTACAACTCCATCTATATGTTAAACAACCATGGTGACATTACACACCCCTGTCTAAGGCCTACTTTTACTAGAAATTAATCTCCCTCTCTCCTATACACCCTAACCTGAGCCTCACTAACCTCATAAAAACTCTTTACATGTCATATATACACTATATCAAGGCATTCTTTCAGTTCAACTTTCAAAGGAATTGCAAAACAAAATTTTTAATGCCAGGTCTGTGGCTACCTACTATCCTTAATAAGTTCATTATGTTACTATCTTTGGATGGTATGGCTTTAGATATAAGTCTGATTATTAGCTTTTAAGTTTTAACCACCTACATGTACTTTCAGTATTTCTATCCTAATAACTATGTCATTGTATTTATATATATTGCCAGTAATCTTTGAATATCTTCTGCAGGCTCAGCATATTGGCAAGTCTACTAACACCTTCAGTGTCTCTCGAGTTGGAGATTCCATCTACTTTGAGTCTAAAACACACAGCTTCAGTGTTGAGTGGAATGTTGAGATGAATGTCAATATTATTGTAAGTAAAAACTCGGTATATTTTAAAGCAGATTTAAACAAACCTTTTTTGTAAACTGTTATAATGCAAGAAGCAGTGGAGGTGTCATGTTTGAGAGCAGTGCATGGTGTGAATATTATGCAGAGAATTCATAGCATAAAAATTAGAAGGCAGTGTGGAGTGACCAAGGATATAATTCAGAGAGGTGAGGAGGGGTGGCTGAAGTGGTTTGAACATGTAGAGAAGATGGACAGGGATGGATTGATGAAAACGGCATAAAAATCTAGGGTTAATGGTAGGAGGAGAAGGGATCATTCCAGGAATGGTTGGAGTGGAGAGAGGATACAAGAGTCTATGAGAAATCGTTGGCAAAAGGGTATACAAGAGTCAATGAGGAATGATTGTAGAGAGAGGGATACAAGAATCTGAGGAATGGTTGGAGGGGGATACAAGAGTTTATGAGGAAGGATTAGAGAGAGGAAGAATACAAGAGTCTGTAAGGAAGGATTGGAGAGAGGAGGGATACAAGAGTCTGTGAGGAAGGATTGGAAAGAGGAGGAATACAAGAGTCTATGAGGAAGGATTGGAGATAGGAGGGGTACAAGAGTCTATGAGGAAGGATTGGAGAGAGGAGGGATACAAAAGTCTATGAGGAAGGATTGGAAAGAGGAGGGATTACAAAAGTCTGTGATGAATGGTGCAAGAGTGGATACAAGAGTACAGTCCACAAGCTTGGTGTTTACTCTAAGGACTTGAGAGACAGTGAATGACAGTATAGGTAATGTACAGTACCTATGTGGCACATATATTACACAGTTTAGTTTTTTATTGCAGTATACCTCTTAACAAAGTGGAGTACAGTATATTATACAATTAAGGTGATTGACAACTAGTTTATAGAAGGTCCCTTGTTATGCAAAGCATTTCAGGCTGCCTTAAAACTAAATTATGATTACAAGTGTATGTATATGAAAATTAGAATACACATTTTTTTTTTTAAATATTGGAGGTTTTAGTAATTCGATAAATAATTATTGAGGATGAAGCTAGATGCATGAGTTCAATGAATGATAGACACAGACAGGGACAGTACTGGTTGAAATAATTGCTCAACATAATAAATTGTTAGGATCACATTAGGGAAAGGAGGTGTTTTTTAACAGTAGCTTTGAAGCTGCTGGCTGAAAGAGAGAGAGACAAGTTGTCAGATAAAGAGTTCCAGATTTTAGGTCCTTTTATGCACATTGAGTTTTTACAGATGCTGGGAATATAATAAAGGTTTTTGTGTCTAGTATTATGCCTGTGAGTTCTGTTGCAACTGTCAAGAAAGAGTTTCAAGGTAAGACTGATAATAGAATTTAATATCCAGTATATATAGTATGCACAGTAGAGAGTTGTATGTAGTATGCACAGTGAAGTTCCAGCATTGTCCTATACTTAGTCTTAACTTTCCTAGTTCCAATGTATTATAAATTACATATGTAGTTTATCTGAACGTATAACGATCAAGTTTTGGGTATATTTCTGATAAAAGTCAGTGTTAATAGAAATAAGGTAGTTTGATACAGCACTTCCATTCTACAGCTTGGCGATCACCTACTGAATAAGGTGGATGGGTTGTGTGGCTTTTACACAGGAGACTCAAGTGATGACAAAACTAAACCTGATGGCAAACTAGCAACCACCATCAAAGAATATGGTCAGTCATGGTCTTTAGATGATAAAGAATGTGAAGAGAAACCCAAGTGTACATCAGAGACTACTGTCAAGGCACTTGATCTGTGTAACACTGTCCAGTAAGTTTCCACAGTGTTCTAATTATAACTAGACCTTGTGCTACTAGCTGTATTATCTTTGACATCTAACGATATTCAAATTTTAATTCGCGTTCATTTATCTTGCCAGGGATGTATCTGTTCAATACTGCCTTAACCCTTTGAGGGTTTCGGCCATACAAGTACGGCTTACAACCCAGGGTTTTTAACGTGCTAGTACGCCTAAATTCTAGCGCCCTCAAATCTAGTGGGAGAAAGCTGGTAGGCCTGCATATGAAAGAATGGGTCTATGTGGTCAGTGTGCACAGTATAAAAAAAATCCTGCAGCACACAGTGCATAATGAGAAAAAAAAAACTTTGACCGTTTTTTGGAATAAAACAGCGACTTTGCACTGTATTTTCGTATGGTATTTATTGTTATATTCTAGTTTTCTTGGTCTCATTTTATAGAATGGAAGACATATTACAGAAATTGAGATGATTTTGACTGGTTTTACAATGAAAAGTACCTTGAAATTGAGCTCAAAGTAGCAGAAATTTTCGATTTTTACCAAAGTTCAAAAGTAAACAAATCATGCCAAGCGTCCAATACACGTCAACTGGTGAGTCTAATATTCTTTCGCAAGTGTGCCAATATTATTTATACCATTTTTTACACTAATGCAGTAGTCTGCATAACAGTAAATCTTTTATTTTTTGTGAGAATAAAAATTCAAAGTGGAAAGCAAAAGAATGTAAGAGGGGCCTTGAGACGTGACTAATGAACAGAGGAAATGTCATTTTAGTGCCAGGAATGTCTTTCTTGTTTATTCTGGACCCTATTCAGAAATTGGCATCTTTTGAAATTTGTGTGAAATTGGCAAAATTGCTAAATTCTGACCACTGTATTGGATAGTTGAAATTGATAAATGGGTGGTTTCTTGCACTCATTTGATAGAAAAAATGGAGTTCTAGCGAAATATTCATGTTTCTTGTCGACTAGTACAGTGGAATTGGCGGAAAATGGGGCTCAAAGTGGGCAAAATCGCCGATGCGTAAACATTGCCGAGACCGCTGATTCGCAAGAGCATAATTCCTTAAGTTTTCCATCAAATTTCAAACATTTGGTGTCATTATGATAGGGAAAAGATTCTCTATCTTTTCATAAGATAAAATTATTTTTTTTTTAAATTTGGCCGACCCTGAGAAGTCTCAGAGAGGGCCTGTCGACCCTCAAAGGGTTAAATGTAGAAACCCTTATACTGTACATTACTTAAAAGTTATAAATTAGGTACTTTTTTTTTAACAAGTTGGCCATCTCTCACCAAGGCAGGGTGACCCAAAAACACTTTCACCTCACTCATGCATAATCACTGTTTTTGCAGAGGCACTCAGATACAACAGTTTAGAAGCATTTATAATCATATATAACTTATCCCTCCAAACTGCCAATATCCCAAACCCTTCCTTTAAAGTGCAGGCATTGTACTTCCCATTTCCAATACGTACTCAAGTCCGGCTATATAAAAAAACTGGTTTCCCTGAATCCTTTCACTAAATATTACCCTGCTCACACTCCAACAGCTCGTCAGGTCCCAAAAATCATTCGTCTCCATTTACTCCTCTCTAACACGCTCATGCATCCTTCCTGGAAGTCCAAGCCCCTCGCCCACAAAACCTCCTTTACCCCCTCCAGCCTTTTTGAGGACGACCCCTACACCGCCTTCCTTCCCCTTCAGATTTATACGCTCTCCGTGTCATTCTACTTTGATCCATTCTCTCTAAATGACCAAGCCACCTCAACAACCCTTCTTCACCCCTCTGACTAATACTTTTATTAACTCTACACCTTCTCCTAATTTCCACACTTCAAATATTCAGCATAATATTTACACCACACATTGCTCTTAGACAGGACATCTCCACTGCCTCCAGCTACCTCCTCGCTGTAGCATTTACAACCCAAGCTTCACACCCATATAAAAGAGTTGGTACCACTGTACTTTCATACATTCCCTTCTTTGCCTCCATAGATAACGTTTTTTGTCTCCACATATACCTCAGTGCACCACTCACCTTTTTAACTTCATCAATTCTATGGTTAACCTCATTCTTCATAAACACATCTGCTGACACATCAACTCCTAAATATCTGAAAACATTCACTTCTTCCATACTCTCTTTTTCCAATGTGATATCCAATTTTTTCTTTATCTAAATCATTGATGCCCTCATCACCTTACTCTTTTCTATGTTCACTTTCAACTTTCTACCTTTACACACCCACCCAAACTCGTCCACTAACCTTTGCAACTTTTCTTTAGAATCTCCCATAAGCACAGTATCATCAGCAAAAAGTAACTGTGTCAACTCCCATTTTGTACTTGATTCCCCATAATTAAATCCCACCCCTCTACCCAACACCCTAGCATTTACTTCTTTTACAACCCCATCTGTAAATATATTAAACAATTATGGTGACATTACACATCCCTGTCTAAGACCTACTTTTACCAGGAAGTAATCTATCTTTTCTACACACTCTAACCTGAGCCTCACTATCCTCATAAAAACTCTTTACAGCATTTAATAACTTACTAGTAACCTATTCCATATACTTGCAACATCTGCCACATTGCTCCTCTATCCACTCTATCATATGCCTTTTCTAAAGCCATAAATGCAATGAAACCTTCCCTACCTTTATCTGAATACTGTTCACATATATGCTTCAATGTAAACACTTGATCTACACATCCCCTACCCACTCTAAAGCCTCCTTGCTCATCTGCAATCCTACTCTCTGTCTTACCTCTAATTCTCTCAGTAATAACCCTCCTGTACATTTTTCCTGGTTTTATTATTATTATCACACTGGCCGATTCCCACCAAGGCAGGGTGGCCCGAAAAAGAAAAACTTTCACCATCATTCGCTCCATCACTGTCTTGCCAGAAGGGTGCTTTACAGTACAGTTTTTAAACTGCAACATTAACACCCCTCCTTCAGAGTGCAGGCACTGTACTTCCCATCTCCAGGACTCAAGTCCGGCCTGCCGGTTTCCCTGAATCCCTTCATAAATGTTACTTTGCTCACACTCCAACAGCACGTCAAGTATTAAAAACCCTTTGTCTCCATTCACTCCTATCAAACACGCTCACGCATGCCTGCTGGAAGTCCAAGCCCCTCGCACACAAAACCCCCTTTACCCCCCCCCCCAACCCTTCCTAGGCCGACCCCTACCCCGCCTTCCTTCCACTACAGACTGATACACTCTTGAAGTCATTCTGTTTCGCTCCATTCTCTCTACATGTCCGAACCACCTCAACAGCCCTTCCTCAGCCCTCTGGACAACAGTTTTGGTAATCCCGCACCTCCTCCTAACTTCCAAACTACGAATTCTCTGCATTATATTCACACCACACATTGCCCTCAGACATGACATCTCCACTGCCTCCAGCCTTCTCCTCGCTGCAACATTCATCACCCACGCTTCACACCCATATAAGAGCGTTGGTAAAACTATACTCTCATACATTCCCTTCTTTACCTCCAAGGACAAAGTTCTTTGTCTCCACAGACTCCTAAGTGCACCACTCACTCTTTTTCCCTCATCAATTCTAATGATTCACCTCATCTTCATAGACCCATCCGCTGACACGTCCACTCCCAAATATCTGAATAACGTTCACCTCCTCCATACTCTCTCCCTCCCAATCTGATATTCAATCTTTCATCACCTAATCTTTTTGTTATCCTCATAACCTTACTCTTTCCTGTATTCACCTTTAATTTTCTTCTTTTGCACACCCTACCAAATTCATCCACCAATCTCTGCAGCTTCTCTTCAGAATCTCCCAAGAGCACAGTGTCATCAGCAAAGAGCAACTGTGACAACTCCCACTTTGTGTGTGATTCTTTATCTTTTAACTCCACGCCTCTTGCCAAGACCCTCGCATTTACTTCTCTTACAACCCCATCTATAAATATATTAAACAACCACGTGACATCACACATCCTTGTGTAAGGCCTACTTTTACTGGGAAAAAATTTCCCTCTTTCCTACATACTCTAACTTGAGCCTCACTATCCTCGTAAAAACTCTTCACTGCTTTCAGTAACCTACCTCCTACACCATACACTTGCAACATCTGCCACATTGCCCCCTATCCACCCTGTCAACGCCTTTTCCAAATCCATAAATGCCACAAAGACCTCTTTAGCCTTATCTAAATACTGTTCACTTATGTGTTTCACTGTAAACACCTGGTCCACACACCCCCTACCTTTCCTAAAGCCTCCTTGTTCATCTGCTATCCTATTCTCCGTCTTACTCTTAATTCTTTCAATTATAACTCTACCATACACTTTACCAGGTACACTCAACAGACTTATCCCCCTATAATTTTTGCACTCTCTTTTATCCCCTTTGCCTTTATACAAAGGAACTAGCATGCTCTCTGCCAATCCCTAGGTACCTTACCCTCTTCCATACATTTATTAAATAATTGCACCAACCACTCCAAAACTATATACCCACCTGCTTTTAACATTTCTATCTTTATCCCATCAATCCCGGCTGCCTTACCCCCTTTCATTTTACCTACTGCCTCACGAACTTCCCCCACACTCACAACTGGCTCTTCCTCACTCCTACAAGATGTTATTCCTCCTTGCCCTATTACACAAAATCACAGCTTCCCTATCTTCATCAACATTTAACAATTCCTCAAAATATTCCCTCCATCTTCCCAATACCTCTAACTCTCCATTAATAAACTTCTCTCCTATTTTTAACTGACAAATCCTTTTTCTCTAGGCTTTCTCAACTTATTAATCTCACTACAAAATTTTTTCTTAGTTTCAACAAAATTTGTTGATAACATCTCACCTACTCTCTCATTTGCTCTCTTTTTACATTGCTCACCACTCTCTTAACCTCTCTCTTTTCTCCATATACTCTTCCCTCCTTGCATCACTTCTACTTTGTAAAAACTTCTCATATGCTAACTTTTTCTCCTTACTACTCTCTTTACATCATCAT